ACACAATAAGGGTACTAAACTGTTCAGTCACCAAAAGAAACTCCTTTGTGTTATCCCTAAATGGTCACTCACAACAGTGTGTTTGAAATCCATCCAAGTTGTATCATAGTTCATTTCTTTTTAATGCTGAATATTAATCCACTGTATGGGTGTACCACAGTTTGTTTACCTAGTTACCTGTTGAAGGACATTTGAGTTGTTTCCAATTTTTTTACTATTACCAGTAAAACTATTATTATAAGATGGGCTCCAGGCTAGGCATTTAAACTGGCCTCCTGTATACATTTCTTGGGGCAAAAAAAGATGATCTCCAGTTCAGACATTTACAATTAACCTCCTGTTTGCGTTTCTTGAGACAGGAGATTGGTGGGCCCAGGTTAGATATTTACAACCAGTCTCCTGTTTGCATTTCAAAATAGAAATACCAAAAGAAATAGAGTAAATAGCCAGGCTTTGTCTCCTGAGGACAGTTTAAGATAACAACAGTCAGAAACAGAAAGGGGCTAAACCCTGCTTGTGTAAAAGATCAAGAGATCGTATATTTCCCATCCTTGGGGCAAGGGATACACTGCACACGCACAGAAAGGCTCCTTTGGGGGTCAGAAGGAGGAGTTTGTCACTCCATCATATGTGATGCCAAGGCCACCCTATAGGCCTCTGGGTTGGAATATATTTTGAAAAAGAATTGCACATGCATGTTGGGGAGGGTCTTAGGGTAAGTCAGGTGTGGAAAAAGAAACCATGTAATTGGCCAAAGGTAAACAAATACCCAGAAGAACTGCCCTGTATAAATGATTTAACCGCCTCTTTACTGCCCTCGTCCTCTTTAGGGGGGACGCCCACACCCTTTCTCTTTGGGTGTGTATTTCTGCCTTGCTCCTGTCTTAACTGTTTCTCAGTGTGCTCTCCCACTTGTTGTGGTGCTGTGTCTCTAATAATAAGCTTTGTACCTGCTTTTACAGTTTTAGTCTCCATGAGAAATGAATTTCTCAGTGGGGGCAAGAGCCAGGGAAAATTTGCTTCTAACATCTATCCCTTGCTGATCTGGTGGCTAGGATTCCTAGTCTTCATCCAGGGTATACAGGTTCAATTCCTGGTCAAGGAACTAAGATCTCACTTCTTGCTACTATTCACTGCTGCCTCTCCAAGATCAGTTAGATTTGTTTAAATAATATAGTTGTGGTGATATTGTATCAGGTTTATTGTGGCTAAAAAATAGCAGCAGTGTAGAAATTTAGGCAGGGTCTAGAGGGCCTAGAAGGCCTCGTTAAAGGCAGTGCCAGTGGAATGTTGTAGGGGTTCCTGGCAGATAAACTGTTGGAGAAAGCTAAGATGGTGCAGTTACTACTAAGAATAGTGCTTATTGATGGAGAGAGACGAATCACCTATGAAGATGAGGCTTCTGAATCTAAAGAGAGGATGATGGCTATAATAATTAAGGATATTCATCATTAGTATTTATTCTGGCAGCATAGTGTAACTGAATATTTTTGCTGACCAGAGAGCTAATCAACAATAATATATCAATAGAGTAGACAAAGTTTTATGAGTATCTTTTACTTTAATATCTGTGTCAGTGCATGAAACTTGTAGGTTGTCTAACAAAATAATAATTATAGGTTTATGTTGTATGGAGTCTAAATTATGAGACATGTAAAATTGCTGACTTTATTATTATTTTTTTTAAATTGCTGACTTAAAAAAAAAAACAACAAAACCAATCATTCAGAATCTTTCATCCTAGCATCCATTCCAGGAAAAAGACATTGCTAACATTTATATTGCTAACAAAATAACAGTCCTAGTATGAGTCAGATAGTTTTTGGCCATAGACCAGCCTCATCTTGTTAACATCTAATAGGAAAAGATCAAAATAAATGCTTACTTAAATAGTATTTTCATTATTTGAGAATGGTGGTACAGAATTTACTGGCCTGGACACTAGTGTGTATTTAGGAAATTGGCCGTTTTAAAGCATTAGTGTTTTTAACAGAGTTAATCTGTCATATTAGAATGAAGTTATTTAATAGCTTCTTAATAAATATACAGTGATGGAGAGGAAAATGATGTGAGTAGTTTAAACTCATTTGCTTTTGGAAATAATTGTATAGTTTTTACTTAACTTACTGTGTGAAGACACCTTTTATGCTTGTTTTAAATTCTATTGTCTCTTACCTCTTATATTAGCCATGGTTGCTGCAATGGGTTCTAACCAGGCCAGCTTGACAGCATCTCTCATCAGGGCGTATGCTGTATAATTCTTGCAGTAAGGAACAGTAATTGATATTTAAGTTCTTCCTCTTTTGTCCTTTACACAGGGAGCTCTGGATCAGCATTTCACATATTTTTGTCCATTTATGTTCATAAGCAAAGGTTTTATTGGACAAAGAGATTTAGAAATGAGTTTAAACATGGTTATTGTGATTCATTGTTCTTGTCTCCCACCATGATTCTTTGACTGTAGAAGCCATGGGCCTAGATAGGTTGCATTAATTTGATGATATTTTTTCTACTAAATTTTCGAGTAGGGTGTAATAAACTATTTTGAGAGTGCAGGAGATATGCAAAGGCCTGACTTCTTAAAAGGAAGTATCACTGTTATATTTCTTAAAACCAGGAGGGGACCAGTTGGGGGTGGAGAGACTGACATGGGGACGGGAAGATATTTTTTTGTGATGATGGAAATGTTTCGTGTTTTGATTTAGGTGGTGGTTACATTACTGGCTATATTGAACTAAACACTTAGAAAGTGTGAATAAAAAGAAACAGCCCAGCTGCTCAATAATATTTCCCCTGTGCTTTTGTTTTGTTTTGTTTTTAATAAATAAGAGATCGCTTCAAGAAAATTAGAGATACCAAGGGAAATTTTCATGCAAAGATGGGCACAATAAAGGACAGAAATGGTGTGGGCCTAACAGAAGCAGAAGATATTAAGAAGAGGTGGCAAGAATACAGAGAAGAACTGTACAAAAAAGATCTTCATGACTCAGGTAATCACGATGGTGTGATCACTCACCTAGAGCCAGACATCCTGGAATGCAAAGTCAAATGGGCCTTAGGAAGCATTACTACGAACAAAGCTAGTGGGGGTGATGGAATTCCAGTTGAGCTATTTCAAATCCTAAAAGATGATTCTGTGCAAATGCTGCACTCAATGTGCAAACAAATTTGGAAAACTCCTCAGTGGCCACAGGGCTGGAAAAGGTCAGTTTTCATTCCAATCCCAAAGAAAGGCAATGTCAAAGAATGTTCAAACTAGCGCACAATTGCACTCACTTCAAATGCAAGTAAAGTAATGCTCAAAATTCTCCAAGCTAGGCTTCAACAGTACGTGAACCCAGAACTTCCAGATGTTTAAGTTGGGTTTAGAAAAGGCAAGAGGAACCAGAGATCAAACTGCCAACATTCTTTGGGTCACAGAAAAAGCAAGAGAATTCTACAAAAACATCTGCTNTAAAGAAAGCTGAGTGCTGAAGAATTGATGCTTTTGAACTATGGTGTTGGAGAAGACTCTTGAGAGTCCCTTGGACAGCAAGGAGATCCAACCAGTCCACCCTCAAGGAAATCAGTCCTGAATATTCACTGAAAGGACTGATGCTGAAGCTCAAACTCCAGTACTTTGGTCATCTGATGTGAAGAACTGACTCACTGGAAAAGACCCTGATGCTGGGAAAGATTGAAGGCGGGAGGAGAAGGGGATGACAGAGGATGAGATCGTTGGATGGCATCACTGACTCAATGGAAATGAGTCTGAGTAAACTCTGGGAGTTGGTGATGGACAGGGAGGCCTGGTGTGCTGCCGTCTGTGGGGTCACAAAGAGTCGGACACGACTGAACTGAAGTGAACTGAGGAGTTTTTATTGTTTGCCTAATAACACACAAATTAGGCAGAGAAGTTCCTAGTGAAATGATGGTCACATTTTACTGTGTCTGCCTGTTGGTCCTTCATTTTCTAAGTGCTTACTTTCTTCATTAGACTTTTATTTTGATTATAAATGCCAGTGTGAATAAATAAATACATTGTCTTTTATCCCTCCCTCATCAGCTTTCTTTAAATAGAAAAAGGGACAAATTTCCCCTTACTGCATATTCAACCATAGTTGCCCAATCTGTGATTTTAATTCAGTCTTCTCAATCATTTTAGACTGTAAATGTAGGCTGTACTTTGTTCTCCTAAAGAAACTTTGGTATATTAGTCCTATTAGTATTAATAATAATCTCCAAGTCGTAAGGATGGTAACTGGTCTGGAAGCAACTGGGAAAGAACTTGAGCAAACTCGATACCAGTGGGAAATTATTCAGAGGCGAATTTTATTGCCATTAACTAGAAGAATGCCCCTTGTCGAGGCTGACCCAGCTATGCCTCTAGTCCATTTCTTGCTGTCAGTGGTATTGCTTGTGGTTCTCAGGGTTCTAGCTTTCCCTTAGTTTCGAGCGATTCTGTAATACTATGGAAAACAGACTCCCTCATAGTCCATTAAATGTAATTTAAAATTACACTGTCTATGATACCCACTGTAAAGTTCCCACCCCAGGCATTCACAAGTTTTTCAAGGGTAAGACTGTTGCTTGACTTTTTCCAGGACTTACTATATTCTCTGTAATAAACTTTTATTAGTTCAGCATTTTACTGTCTAGATAGAGTTAAGTATTTATCATGTTTGTTGAATATATAAAACTTTATTAAACCTTGAAAAAAAAGAACATTGAATCTAATTAACTATTAAATATTGTTGAAAAAAATCACATGATCTGGTTTCTTTTTTTGTAATGTTTTATTTCGTCCAATTTAAAAGTCATTCTCCTTTCTGAATGGTTTTGTGCTACCTCTAAAGTTTGTCCTGCGTGTATATTAGGCAAATCAAAGGCTTAATAATCTAGTATGTTAGGTTTGTTTTCAGGGGAAAGTGAAGATATTTTTATATTCATGTGCATTTTATATGTCACCTTACTTTCAGAGGTATTTCTAACTTGTGCTTATATTTTGTGTTTTTTTTTAGTGAAAATATTCTCTTTGGAATGGGAAATCCTCTTCTTGACATCACTGCTGTAGTGGATAAGGATTTCCTTGATAAGTAAGTATTGAGCTCTTCAATATTTACTATGTGAAACACATCTAAGTAAAAACTGAAAATGTTAGAGTTGAATTTGCTGTTTAACATCTTCAGTTGGAGGAAAATTCAGGAAATTTAATCCTGATAATGGCAAGTGCAATATCATTATTATTGAGTAATTGACCACAGTTTTCCCTGGGAAAACTTTGGTACTTTTGTTCATTCCTATTGCTACTTTCACTTGAAGGTGATTCTGCTATTCTTTGCAAGGAATAAGTATGTGATTTACTTAATGATTTAATTTCCACATTTTAAAATTAACTGTCAATGAACTAAGTCAGTAATGGGTACCATACCATATGGGAGAAGGAATAGGATTAGAGAGAACAAGAAGAATACGTAGGACAAAATTCAAACACTATGAATCTTCCCTATTTCCCTCAGTAGTAACTTTTGATATTGTTAGTTCAGCTGAGAAATCATTTTATGTTTATTTATCTGTGGTCATTTGGTACAAGGGAAAAGTTAAGTACTAAAAAAAGACTTAATGATGAAAAATTAATATCCCCTTCCTCTTAAACAGCCCAAGTTCTATGCCCAGAGACAACCACTTTAAAAAAATATTACTGATGCAAAATTTACTTAAAATTAAATTGATAATTTTAACTATTTTAAGGTGTACAGTTCAGTGACTACTAGGACATTGGCAGTGTTGTACAACTGTCACCACGATCTAATCCCAGGACATTTCATCTTGTCAAAAAGAAACCCAAACCCAATAAGTGGTCATATCAGTATTCCCACCTGCCCTCCCCACCTTGCCCCAATCTACCAGTTTAGTTTGTTTCCATGGATTTGCCTATTCTGGATATTTTATTTCATATAAATGGAAGCGTGCAGTATGCAGCCTTTTCTGTCTGGCTTATTTTACTTAACATGTTTTTCAAGGTTCTTCCATGTTGTAGCATGTGTCAGTGCTTTATTCGTTTTAAGGCAGAATAATATTCCATTGTTTGTATGTCCCACAGTTTGTTTATGCATTCATCAGTTGAGGTAGTCATTGGCTGATGGACACTTAGGTTGTTTTGTCTTTTGACTGTGATGAAGAAACCTGCTATGAATATTTGTGTACGAGTTTTTGCAAGAATATATATTTTCATTTCTTTTGGGTTTATATATTGGAGTGGAATTGCTAAGTCACATGGTAATTCTGTGTTTAGTTCTTTGAAGAACCATATACTCACCAAAACTTGGTCTTTTCCCTTTTTAAAATTATAGCCATCCTAGGACTTCCTGGAGGTCCAGTGGTTAAAACTCCATGCTTTCTCTTCCGGGGGCACAGGTTCAATTTCTGGTTGGGAATTGTAAATGGAGTCATTTTCTTAATTTCAATTTTGGATTGTTCATTCCTAATATGTAGAATACAATTGATTTTGAGGAATAGCAATTTTTAGCAAATTTTTTTTTTTTTTTTTTAGCAAATTGGTTTTTAATGTCTTGGAGATTAACTCTTTATCTGTATAAACTCAAGTGTCACAGGGTCAGGCAAGAATTTATAATTGTGTGAATTTGGCTTATTACAATATAGTAGGAAATAGGTTAGGGACCCAAGGACAAACTGGAGGATGTGTCTTACCCTAAGACATTCAGATACAAATTTTAAAATAGACTCTGCTAATCAGAAACACTCTTGCATACAATTATATTAATAGTTTTACTTCTTCTAGTTACCTTGTACTTTTTAATTATGTAATATTCATACATGAAAAAATTTTCTTGTATCAACTTTCAGTGGAATCCCTTGACTTCTCCTTATATACAGTGAATTTACCAGTGCCCCTGTTCTTCCCTCTGTTACTTCTCTACTTTCTAAGTTTTGTTAACTTTCTACTTTAACTCCTGACTACTGCTCTAACTTTTAGCTTTATAAATTGTTTAGCTATATTTTTATTTTAATATTAAGATTGATATGTTTTCATTCTGTTAGCTATCTATAATTACATTACCAGCTTTGAAGACAAAGTGGTAGTGAAGGTTGAAAATCACTTATCCATACTTACACAGTCTCACTGTGCTTATTCCTTTTTGCAGACTGAAATAGTGTGCTTAGAGTGTAGGGTAGGTTTAACATTTGGAATGTAATTAGAGTACTTGACTGTATTAACAGAGTAAAAAAAGAAAAATAATGTAATCATCTCAATAGACAGAAAAATCATTTGCCAAAACCCACTATCTATTCCTGATACAATTTTGTATAGGATTCTGAGAATAGAAGGGATCTTACTTATTTCTCATAAAAGTTTGGTTAGAGTAAAGCCTTATAACATAATTTCTAATGGTGAAAGTCTTTATACCTTTCCCTAAGATCAGAAACAATTCAAGGATTTTGGCCCTTACCGCTTCAGAATGTATACAGTGGTCCTGGAGATTTCTATTCAGAGCAGTCAGGCAAGAAGAAGTAAAAGACATCCAACTTGCGAAGGAAGAAATAAGCTATTTTTATGTCCAAAAGGCATGATCATTTATGCAGAATAACTGATGGAATCTACAAAAAAGCTACTGCCTGATTTCAAGAATTATTTTAAAGTTACAGTAATCAAGCAGTGATATCAGTGTAAAGTTTGATTGCATAGAGTAGAATGTGCAGAAATAGCCCCACACATAAATGTATGACTGATTTTTGACAAAGGTGCAAGTTAGTTCAGTGGAGAAAGGATTGTCTTTTCAACAGATAGTGCTGGAACAATTGAATATCAACGTGCATAAAAAGGAAATTGTATTTTGTACCATATACAGAATTAACTGATAGAGCTAAAAGTGAGGCCTAAAAGTATAACACTTCTTCAGGATAATATAGCAGGAAATCTTCGTGACTGTGATTTAAACAAGAATTTCTTAAATATAGAACACCAGAAGTACGTTCTATAAAAGAAAAAACTGATGAGCTGGACTTTTTCAAAATGAAAATTTTTCCTGTTGGGAAGATACCGTTAGAAGAATGAAAGGACAAACCATAGGTTTAGAGAAAATGTTTGCAAAGCATATGTCTGATAAAGAACTACCAGTGAGATTATATAACGAACTCTTAAAAGCTCTATCAGAAAAGAAACAGCCTAATAAAAATGGGCAAGAAATTTGAACATTCACCAAAGATATATGGATGGCAAATAACCACATGAAAAGGTACTCCATCTCTTTCATTATTAGGGAAATGTAAATTAATGATACAGTGAAATACTTACATCCACATTTTTGTTAGAGTGGCTAAAATTTTAAAACTGAGCATACCAAATGTTGGCTAGATAATGAAGGAATTGCAGCTTTCTTCTCATGGAAATATTAAAATGCTGCACTGAATTTCAGTCTGAAAAGTTAAACACACATCTCTTTGATCCAGCCATTTCATTCTGAGATATTTACCCAATCCAGCCAGTTCATTCTTAGATATTTACCCAAGAGAAGTGAAAGTGTGTATCCACACAAAGACATGTTCATTAATATTCATGGTAACTTTGTTCTTAATAGCTGGAACTTGAAAGTTGTTACCTAAATGTCAACAGGTGAATCATTAAACAGATTGTTTACCCATACAGTGGAATATTAGTCAGAAATTAAAAAGGAATAGAGTGTTGTTTGGATGAAGCTTAGAAAAATTGTGTTCATTGAAAGAAGCTAGACAAAAAAGAATACTGTATGATTCCATTTATATTGAAATTATAGGGAATTCAATTTATGGTGACACAAGGTAGATTGTTGGTTTCATGTGCATGTGCCAGGATGTGTTGGAGGACCAGAAGGAGAGATTACAAAGAAACATGAGGGAGCTTTTAGGAGTGTGTTTATTATCTTAAATGTATAATGATTCCATGAGTATATATACATGTATCTAAGCTTATCAAATTGTATACTTTAAATACATAAGATGTATGTCAGTTACATATCAGGAAAGCTTTATAAGTAAAACAAAATAGAGTCAATTGAACATGAACTTCAAGAGTTTGAAGTTAGAGCTCCTTTGCTTTGTGAGATGTTTTACTCAGGAAATCAACTAATTGATTGTCACTGTTTTAAAAATAATTCTAATAGCAAATAAAAATACAAAGCGAAAGTAAAAAATTTGAAATTTTATACCATGTGTAACCAGTCTGAAATTGTTTTGATGAACATGCACCCAGACATCTATGTATTGATGTGACTCAGAGATATAATATATTTGTGTTTATGGGATAATACTATATGTAGTCTTAGGTAATTAGCTTTTTTTCACTCTATACTGTCTTTTTTAAGATTTGTGCAAATATGATCAGAATGATTATGATCTGGCAGCTGTGTGCTGACATTGTTGGCAACTCAAATAGCTTCTTTGTTTCACTAGCTGCCAAGTCGCTTCAGTCGCATCCGACTCTGTGGGACCCCATAGACAGCAGCCCACCAGGCTCCCCCGTCCCTGGGTTTCTCCAGGCAAGAACACTGGAGTGGGTTGCCATTTCCTTCTCCAATGCATTAAAGTGAAAAGGGAAAGTGAAGTCGCTCAGTCGTGTCCGACTCCTAGCGACCCCATGGACTGCAGCCCACCAGGCTCCTCCGTCCATGGGATTTTCCAGGAAAGAGTACTGGAGTGGGGTGCCATTGCCTTCTCTAGCAGCTGATCCTGACTGGCCAATTGAAGTCTTTTTTTTGGTGGAGGTGGGTTGTTTAATTTAACCTTGACTTTTGAAATCAGCACTTGGAGATAATAAACAAGTTTTTGAACCCTAATCATAAAAAGTAGAGTGTTTCCTTTCTTATATTCCTGACCATTTCTTCCAAAATACACTTGAATGAGTTCCTTATCATTTTAGAATATCATTATAAAGACTGTTTAACTTATTTTTTAGACCATGTTTAGATGAGTGTTTTATATTTGCACTGTATAAAAATAAATTATCCATGAATAATTTGCTAGGTACTATGATAAATGAATTAAATATAAACTTACTAGTATCTTACATTATAAAAATGAAGTACCTGTTAAAATTCTT